CCTAGAGGGCTCTTGTTTGTTTTAAACTAAGGAATATTCTGTCCTGCTCCATATTCCCAGGTACCAGCAAGTCAGTGATGATCAGGCACTGGGGCCCTGGAAATCCTGTTGTTTAAATGGTGGCAAAAATCTTCAGAAACCCTAGCGGTAAGCTGAGGGCCTGAGTCACTGATGGGCTATGGGACTTTGGACAGATCCTTCCCCTTTCCTGGGCCTCAGCTTCCTGACCTGCAAAATGAGGGGAAGTGGACCTGGGTCACATCAGTGGTTTCCAAAGCAGGGTCCATAAAGTTGGCAGGAGAAGTAATGCACTATCTCCAAAGTCAGGGGGATGCTATTGTCCTGGGGTGGAGGTCTCTAAGTCTCTGGCTTTGGGCTAGAGTAAGAGCATCTCGTGCTAGCTCTATATGTAGCCTGTGGATCAGAAGTTCACTGGGGCAGTTACGTTTATGGAAAAAATATAAGAAAAGCAATAAGTACAGTCTGGGAAATAAAAACTTTCAAAATACTGGGTCCACTTCCAAGTCTGAATTTCTGGTTTCAGTTTTACTGCCTGTATTAGTTTTCTATTGCTGCTGTAACAAATAACCACAAACTTAGTGACTTAAAACAACACAAATTTATTATCTGCCAGGCACGAATCTGAGATGAGTCTTAAGGGGTGAAACTCAACATGTCAGCAGAGCTGTCTGTGTCCTTTCTGGAATCTCTAGGGGGGAATTCATTCCTGACCTTTTCCAGTTTTAGAGGCTGCCAGCAGTCCTTGACTTGTGGCCATACCACTCCAATTTCTGCTTCTGTTGTCACATGGCCTTCCACTGACTCTCACCCTCCTGCCTCCCTCCTAGAAGGACCCTAATGTTGGGCCCACCTGGATAACCCAGGACATTCTACACATCTCAAGATCCTTAACTACATCGCATCTGCAAAGTCTCTTACCATGTGAAATAACGCATTCATAGGTTTGGGGATTTGGATGTGGACATCCTTGGGGGCCATGATTCCACCTACCACACAGCCCCACCACATGGCTGGCATAGAGGATCTCCTGAGCTTTCTAAATAATATGGTGGGTGTGGCCTGATCATGAAGAGGGCTTCTTTCTGGTGTCTGCTCCCCATGGACTCTGGTCTAACCACAGAGCCCACAAAGATGGAAGAGGTCTTGCCAGCGTTAGTGGGTGTGATTGAAAAGGTTCTGATGTACCCATCGGAAACCCATAGCGTCATTTGCCAGATGTTCTGGTTCTAGGATTTTGCTCCACTAATATGACCAGAGGTCTTTGGAGTCCCAAAGAGCTAGAAAAATCTCTAAGGTTGAATGTGGTTGCTTTGAGAGTCTTTATCGTGAACCCTCACTGCTCTTAATATCTTTGAACAGCAGCCACCAACGAGAATGGAAGAACATCTGTGGCTGGGGATGGCTGATTGGATGAAGTAGAACAGGATTCTGAGCAGAGGCTGACAGATTTGGCGAGCAGTGCAAGAAAATAAGGCACTCTGGGATCTCTCATCGTCTCCTCAACCTTATTGTGCTGCAGCTTACAGGTAGCCCTGCCACAATCCCCAACAGGAGCCCTTACGGTCCCCAGTCTAACCACAGGATGTGGCATTGGTGCTCTTGGGAGCAGATCTGTCCGTATTGCTGGGCTGGCCAAAGCTGTGGCTGCCTTGGCTTGAGCACACTGGCAGACAAATGCTGATGCCACTTCAAAGAACCGCCCCTCCAGGTGCTGAAGGCGGCTTTTCTGATGCTCACGCTGTGTCATTGTTTATTTTCGCAAGGCGCCCAGCTGTTGCAGTGATGATATTTATATCAATAAGTGCTCTATTCATCTGCTGATTTCAGGGGATGCTTGCCAGCTGCATATGGCAGCCAACCCCAGGGCACTTCTGAGCCTGATGTTTTTGCTCTTAGAGAATCATTTCTCAAAGGCTGTACCAACATCTGGGGCTGAAGGATCTTCATTTATCCAGGACCCACCCTGGAAAGGGGCGCTGTAGTCAATGACTTTGACTCGATTCTCTCTATGTCACAAGGTGAAGTTCTTTGAAACTCTTCCTTGGTGCCTGAGCTCTGGTTTTGCAAAAAGGGATGTGCGAAAAAAGAGAACAGCAAACAGGCTCTCATAGGCTCTACTTCACTCACGGAGTCATCCTTGATTCCTCTTTTCCTCTCAGATTCCATATTCAATCTGTCAGGATAGTTTGTTGGGTCTACCTTCAGGATATATCCAGAATCTACTCCATTGCTATCACTTTGGTTCAAGCCACCTGCACCTGTCACCTGGAGTACGGCAGGAGCCTCTTCTCTGTTCTCTGCTTCCATTCTTAGAAACCGCCCCCCCCCACCCCCCCTACCGCAACTTTCTGCACCAACAGTCTATTCTCAACACATAGCCAGAGGGATGCTTTATTTAAAAAGTCAAATTACTGTTCAAGTCACTCCTCTGCTCAAAACCTGTCAATGGCTCCCTATTTCTCTCAGGATAAAACCCCATGCTCTTCCTATGACCCCCGAGGATCTGTGTCTCTGTGTCACCTTCTGTTGCTGTCCCCACAGTCACTCTGCTCCAGTCACAGTGGCCTCTGTGCTGTTCCTCAAACGTGCCAGGTGCGTGCCCATAGGACCTTGGTGCGGATTGCCTGCTCTGCCTGGGATGTCTTCCTTGCGATGGTCACATGCTCATTCTCTCACCTCCGTCAAGCCTGCACTCAAATATGACCTTCTCCACTCACTTGGATGGGGCCTACCTTGTCACTCTGACAATTGTATCCTGTGCCCTGAATCAGGCTACTGATCTTTATACCCTGTCCTCTTATTTTTTTTCCATACACTTGCCACGTTCTAACATATAATTAAGTACATTATAGAGTGTTTGTTGTTTATTGTCTCCCCTGCTTTAGAAGTTGGAGGAGAGATTTTATTTTGCTTTCTCTCCCTTGTTCCCTGATGCGTTCCATGCACCTAGAATAGCTCTGGCAAATAGCAGATGCTCCTCAAATCGGTAGAATGAGTGGATGGAGTCCCTCATGAATGTCTCCCACATGCACATCCTGAGTTATACTCACTTTCTTCCCTAATAATCTGTTCCTCTCCTGGCCTCCCCAACCTTCCTGCTTCCTCTCCCACTCCTGCTCCTGGCTTCCCCACCGTGGCCAATCTCATCCCAGATGTCGGACTGCCTACCCTCGAAACCCCACCATCAGCCACAACTTCTCATTCACTTCCCACATCCAACTGCTCCCTAACCTGTGGACTTCAACTCTGGAAATGTTTTCACCTCCAGTCGCAATTCCCCTGCCTCCTGGCCACTCCTCAGTTCAGATCACAACTTTTATTTTCTGCACACTTGCAACATTCTCCTCCCCACTCTCCTAGTTTCCAGGTTGTTCCTCCAGCTTTTCCTCCTCACCGGTCCCCAGACTTACCTTTCTAACAAGGACTCTGCCTCTGCCACACCACTGCTTAAACTCTTCAGTATCTCTCCTCTCTGTAAGGCAAGTATTTTCTAACTGTGCTCCTAGGAACCCCAGGGGTTCCACAAAGGTCCTCAGAGTGGCTGACTTTGAGGGACATCAGGGGAAGCCAGAAGACTAGTGTGGGTAGAACTCTAGACCCCACCCCTCTGCTTCAACATGAGCAGCTCTTGATGATACCTGTTTCATATACTGGGTTTGCATCAAAGCTTTTATTCGAAGAAAGGATTCTGTTGCTTACAAAGTAAAATTCTGACACTTACCATGTTGCACACCAACACCCAAGCTCCTTAGCCCACCATGGGCAGCCCTCTGCAAGCAGGGCCCTGCTGCATTTTCCAGCGTCACCACTCTCTTGTCCTCCCAGCATGCCTCAAGCCCCAGCCACACCACAATAGAATCTGTTCTGCAAACAACCCACGCACATTCACCCCACCTTGCCTTGGCCCCTGCTGTTCCTCTGCTTGAAAGGCCTTTTCCCAACTATTTCATCCCCCACACGCCCAAATCTCTGCTGTCTTCTTCAAGGCCAAAGTCACCTTATTTTTGAAGTCTTCCCTCACCCTCTGGGCAGAATTAATCGCTCCCTGTTCCTGGCCAGCACAGCACTTCGCTGCTGACCTCTATTATAGCGCTGCCACAAGAGGTTGGGACAATTTGCTCATCTGTCTCTGTAGCGAGACTGTGAGCTCCTGGAGGGCTCAGACTGCAGCTCAGATCCATTTTTTTTTATTCTCACACAAGGCCTGCATAAGGCCAGTGCTCACACAGAAGGAGTTGAGTTACTTTCAGTTTCCTTCAAGATCGTGAAAGGATTGCTTTTCAAAAAACCTGAAAGGTCACTCTCACCACCCAAGAATGGCTGCCCTGCCATGGGAGGCAGGGCCAGAAGCTGTCCCGCGATATGTGTCCTGTGTCCTAAGTACTGGGATGTGCTGTCAGCACATGATGCTTGGAGCTTTTGGACCCCAAGGGGCTAAGGCATGAAGCCTGCTGGGGCACAAAGGTCCCCTGTAACAAAGCCAAGCTTGGTGGGGTGGTCGGTGGGCAAAGGGTCTAAGGTTCAAGTCCTAGGCTCTGTCAGTGCAGCCTGCATCATGGAGGGCGCAGGGCGGGTGGTTGTGGCCAGACATCAGGATATTCTGCAGGGCTGGAGACACTCAGAGCTGGGGGACGTAGCCTCCTGGCATTTTGAGCTCTGCGTGATTTGGAGCAAGACCTGAACCAGTGCCTGGGGAATGGGGCAACAGAATCTAGCCTTGGGGATGAGGGTACAGGATAAAGCCCATAATCAGGAGGCGTCATTGCTGGAAGTGAGAGGACCCGGGAGCGCTAAGGGACCCCTGGCCTCTGCCAGAAGCTGAATGGGCTTGCTTGGTGCTCACAGCCAGATGGTGCCCATCAGAGGGCAGTCGGACAGAGGCAGCACTGTGCTGCTGCTCAGGGCTCTCTCTCCAACTCTAGGGCACGGTTGCCCTAAAGCACCTGAGCAACCAGGGCAGTGGCTGGGCCTCCTCCTACCTGGGCAGTGTCCATCTCATTCAGCATCACCACGGAGGAGCAGTTATAATCGAACACCAGCCTCCAGAAGTCTGCCACGGTGTTGGGTAGAGGGTGTTGGGTGACCACGAAGGCGGCGGGCTGCTTGTGGCTCTGACAAAGGAACAACACAGGCTTTGTAAAATACACATCCATCAGCGATGTCCTAATGATGATGATGTCCGGGTGGCTGCCAGATGTCCCCGAGCCTGTCAAATAGATTACACACAGCACCTGCCTGTTCTGTTATCTCTGGATGCCCTGGCAGCCAAGGGGACCTTCTCATAATGAACTCATTCTGCTCCAAACTAAGACATTTCATTAGGAAAGTGTCACTCGGATGGGGATTATCCAAATAAATTATTTATGTCTTGGAGCTCAGCAAATAATCATTATTACAATATGAAATGAAAGATTCTTGATGCAGATTTCCTGCTCTGCTGGCTAAGGTACCTCCTGGGATGTAAGGGATATCTGTGTCCCTCTGCCCACGATGCTGGAGGAGGGACCGGCTCAGCAAGGCTGAGAGTCTCTGAAGGGGCTTATATTGCAGGAGGCTCATTCCTGCCTCAGGATTGGAAGGAGGGCCGAGCTGGCCTGGCAGAAGATGGACACTGTGTCCTGGGAGCCAATGGGACAGTGGAAGGTGCCCAGGTTTTAGAGTCAGGCAGACCTGGGGTTCAAACTCAGCTTTGCCACTTGAAGGTTATAAGTCACCCATCCATTCATCTATCCATTCATCCATCCATCTATTCATTCAAGCATCATTTGTAGGGTGCTTTTTTTTTCTTTTCCAGGGCTAAGCACTGGCGAGTTACTGGATATCTCCAAGGCTCAGGTTCTTCATCTGGAAAATGGGAATCATCACTCCAAAGGGATGGCTCTCATATAGATTGAATGAGATTTGCATGGGAAAAGACCAGCAAGCAGGAACTGGACTGTGAGCCCACTGGCAGGGCAGAAACATCCCTGACTTGGTTCCCCCTCCTTGGCACTAGCAACGTGGCTGGCACACTAGGCACTCAGTACAGGTCTACCAAACAAGTGAATACATTCGGTCCCATGTTACAAATGGGAAACTGAAGCCCAGAGAAAATGGGCTGTGTGGCTATGGACTACATCTGAAGCTTCAGCTGGGCCCTATTTATTACCCTGTGAGAAGGTGTTTGGAAATATTGGGGAGCTTCTCCACTTCATTAGTGGTTTGTGAAACCTGAGAAATAGCCCATGCTGTCAACATGTTTTCTAGAGAGATGATTCCTGTGGGAGTCACAGCTGTTTTCAGTGGAATCACGAGTCAGCAGGAAGATGGGAAAGACCCTGGCAAGAGACCCTGCCAAACAGATGACATAAAGCGCCTGCCTGTTCTGTTATCTCTCCGTGTCCTGGTGGCAAAAAAAGAGAAGCCTTGCAACTGCGGACGCCACATATGTACTAGGGGGTCCTGTCTTCTCTTGGCTGGAGGAATGGTCAGAAGAGGGGTCTGGGAGGGCAGACTGTTTAGTTTCCCCAAAAGCCAAATTCTAACTGCAGATAGCAAGTCTTTGAGCCATTTCCAGACATGGGAAAGAATCTAGGCTTTAAGAGTCAAAAGACTTGGGGTTCAGACCCTTGTTTCCACTCTTTCTGAGCTAGCTGGCCTGGAGACAGTCATGGAAATACTCTGGCTTTCAGTATCTCGTGCAGACAATGGGATAATAATACCCAAATGCAGAACGAGACAGTATAAGTCTGGGGCCGACATGGTGCCCAACACTCAGTGAATGTTAGTTTTCTTTCCTTTTTCCCTGTCTCTGTGATAAATGCTCTATTAGGCCAGCACGCCTGACAAAGCCTTATCTGAAAATATGCTCCTGATCTGTGCTCCTGCCGGGTTTCAGGGATCAGCCAGCAATCCATTTCATGGATAACATCATCCTTTACCAGGGGAAACATTAAAAATTAACCCAGAGGACTTCATATTTTTCTGCTAGAAGCAAAGCTGCTATGGTTACCAGATAATGCACAGACTGAGCTGGAATACAGATAAGGACTTTTTTTTTGTAAGAAAGGCAAAGGCCCCAGTGATGGCTCACAGGAGAAATGCCCCATGGACAAAGAGAATAGAATCAGCATCAGAGCTTGGCAGAAGGCATTTGACTCCAGGCAGCATCTAACCTACTAAGTGGAGGCCAGGAGCATGTTTGATCCTTGCTTGGATGAGGACGGCAGGGAGAGGGAGTTGGGACAAGTGGGAGACAAAGCTAGGAGGAACCTGGAAGTGTGGGTGCACCCCCAGACCCCATCTCTTACCACCCAAAAGCACACACACACAGGCATGCATACACACACACACATGCATGCACACATTGACCTTGGAAGGCTCTAAGCTAAAGCTAGCAGTCTTCCTTCCACATCCAGCTATTTGATCTGACCAGGACAAGACTCTCTGCTTCTGGATCCATAGCCAGGGTTTCCACGGAGGACTTGTGTGCCCTGCGGGCAGAGGCCAGGGCAGGCCCCTACAGAGCTGAGATAGGTGTTGACCTCCCATCACCTCCCTGCCTCCAACACTGAGGGCCATAGGGGAGAAAGTTTCAGGAGGATCAGAGGTCACAGACATAGTTGGTCTTGACCCAGGAGAGAGCACCCCACATTCCTGCCTGTTCTGGGTGAGATGGGAGGTCTAGGTGGACGTGACCTCAGACAAGAGTTGAGAGGGGACCTGGAAGGGCTCATCCCCAATCAGGCCATGATGTTCTTGGTCTTGAGCCTTGGGAGGCAAGATGTTTGCATCTTCCAGGATTGTGCAACCCGTCGGGTGGCTAAAACAATGAATTCTAGAGCATGAGCCAGAACTCTTGGGTTCTGGCTTTGCCACTAGCTTTCCGGGTGACCTCAAGCAAGTCTCTTTCCCTCTCTGGCCTCAGTTTCCTTTGCTGAAAAGTGCAAGGACGAGACTAGATGATATATCCTGCTGCAAACATCTCTACATCCCGGAGGCGGAGGGAAGGTAACTGGAAGTAGCTGGAGGACCCAAGGGGAAGCATGTGAATCTGGAGTGTGGACTCACAGGGGCAGGGACATGACTTCCTAATCCCAAATCAGCCCAAGGCAGGAGTGCCCTTCTTGGACTTGATGCTGAGAAAGTAGGAGACAATGTCCCCAAGAGAACAGTCAAGAATGTGGCCTGTTTCCCCTCCATGCTCCCTTTTTGCATCCCATCACTTGTCCAATGGCCATTTACCGAGCACCTACTATGTGCCATCCTCATTCTTGCCCCTGCACAGGAGTTACCTGGGAACCTGCCCAGGAGCTCCTGGAGGGCAGAACCTATGTCTGTACCATCTTATGTTCCCAGGGCCCAGACCAAGGCCTGGCATCGAGAATGTTTCCTGACCTCAACTTAAGGCTGAGGGTCAGTTCTGTAGGCAGCAGGAGGGGGGACTGGGTGGTCCTGTATCCTCGCTGTGGTGTCAGGGGACCCCTCTTAAGCTTTTGGTCTATTCTTTCTAGGCTTTTTGTGGGAGTAAAAGAGCCAAGAACAATGCTTGCATATAGGTTTGGACTAGTGCCTTCAGGGGTGCAAATGTCACTGGGACAAGGAAGACCAGAAGGAGGGAGAAGCTGGCTGTGGGGGGCGGGGTGTGTGCCTGTGCCCTGGGGTCCAGCCACCTCCAACTTGGAAAAATCTTTTCCCTGGAATGGCAGCCAGGAGCTTTCCCCAGCAGGGCTCAGCTTACATCCATCAGTGCTGCATTGATGTAGTTGCTGGATTCTCCATCCACCGAGATGAGGAAGGGCAGGCAGCGGTCCAGAGGCAGGACATCCATGCTCCGATTCTTATCATGGTTCCGGGGCAGGAGCCCAATGCTGCAGTCCTCAGGCCGGACGCGGGGAGTCACGATGTTGAGGGTCTTTAGGGTGCAAAGGTGGATAGGTAGGCACTACTCAGATGGTTGCCCCAAACAGAGGAAATAGCAATATTCAAACCCAGCCTACCCCCCATCTCCATCCTCCAAGCTTAGCTCTCCAATCCCTTTCCCAGGACTTGTTTCTCTTCCACAGTGATGTTCTATCATCTCCTGTTGGCTGCTCCAGGCCCTGGGAACTGAGAGCCTCTGCCGGGGGCTGTGTGACACCGCCACGATGTGAAGACTGCAGGGGCAACACGCCCACACACAGTGCAGGCATAGGCTGTCAATACCTGCCAACCATTTGAGCTAAGTTGTTCATTTCAGCCAGTGCTGCATTCAAGGGTGGGCCAGCCAGGAAGTCATAAAGTAGGGAATAGGGGTAGGGAGTCCCTAATGGGTGTTAAAGACCCCTTGGCATGTCATGGAATGAGGGAAAAGATCTTACCAGCACTCGTCTCAGAGAGAAAGCTTTTTGAGAATAGAAGGATGGTTGGAGGAGCTGCTCAGGATGGGTGAGAGACCCCCAAGGGGCAAGCTCTAGTAAGTCTGGAAAATTTCAGGGCTATGTTCTGCAGAGTCTTGCAAGTATGGAGCCAGAGCTGAACTGCCCAGTCAATAGATTAGATGCTCTGAGCAACCAGCAGGTCTCCATGTCCTCCATCTTTCCCTCATTCAACACTGGGTCTTACTCCCAATCAATAAAGTCTACTTGTTTGAAGGAGTACTTAGGTAGTGGCCTGGCTGGGGTATCAGCCCGTGGAACCATGGGCCCAGAAGTTTTCCCTCAAGTCCTGGAGCTTCCTTGCTTCCTCCTGCCTGGTTCTCAGCTCCTGTTGCCCAAGTATGACCCTGGCACTGACCTTGGGACAACGGACTAGACTCTGGCTTTGCGTTACTCGTTGATTCCCATCCAGGCCTCCAGACCAAAGCTGCCACCATTCTCACCATATGGGCTCCAAGGCGCAGATCTGCTATGCCCCAGCTGAGCTCTAGGATGGTGCTTCTCAAAGTTTAACGTGCAGGCAAATTACAGAGGTCTTGTTAAATAGCAAGTTCTTGTTCAGGAGGAGTAGGTGAGACCCAAGATTCTGCATTTCCACTAAACTCTCAGGTGAAGCCGGTGCTGCCCGTCTCCAGACCCCACTTTGAGTAGTGAGAATTTAGGACACACTCTAATTGTACAAAGACTGAGAAAACCTGAGTCTCTCCAGGAACAGAGGAGCATGAAATTCACACCTGTGTGTATAAACTTGTCTCCACCCACAACCTGGACTAGAACTAATTAAGACCTCAGTTCAAAAACACAATCATAGTAAAAAACAAGTATCAGCCATCACTGAGTGATTGGTTCATAGTAGCTCGTGGCTCTGCATTTTATGTTCTGGAATGCATTCTGCAGCTGTCTAGAGCTGCAGACACAAGAAGCACACACACATATCAGTTCTGACAAAGAAAACCCCATGAGTGTGCTCAGTGCTGCTGAAGTGGGCTGGGTCACTGGGCCTGGGGTTTGTTCATACCTGAAATTCGTCTTTGATTTGGCTGGAGTTGGTCTGGGGGTCCAGCCTGCTGATATTGTAGTAGAGAGAGCGGAACTCGCACACCGGGATGGCGGTGTTGCCACAGAGGCACGCTTCCAGGATGGCGTCATGCACAAACACGTATTGTTCCTGCAAAGCCAAGGGGAGAGGGGGTAGGGTCCCGGGTAAGAGCAGTGGCCTGGGAGCTCGCTGTCCACATTTACTCCTGTGGCTGTAAAGGATGGGCATGATTTATACTGCAGAATCCCTGCTTTCTATCCTATCACCTAAAGGGCCACATGTCCATGTTTCTTAGTGATTGCCGAGCTATGGTGAGTTTTGGCCCTTACGTAAGATTGAACAGCACAGTCATTGATAAAAACTAGAAACCTCTGGACATGCAGGTGCTCTTGGTGTCCTGCCCATGTCCCCTTGGCTTTCACCTTTACCTGCTGAAGGCTGCTTACTGCAAACACCTGGGATTCATGCTGAGGGCTTTTTTTCCAGTCCCAGAAGCACACTTGGGCTGTGTGCAGAATGATCCAGTAGGGCCGAAGAGGTAATGCCCTGGGAAGGAGCCCCCAAGCCATGTCAGATGGAGAGCTGGGGGATAAACACCCAAGTTCCCTCTCCCTTCGGTGAGAAACCCGGAAGTGCATGTTCCACGCCATCTCCCAGAGCTCCCAGCAGAATGGGGCTTCAGTGCCCATAGTGTTAAACAGCTTGTAAAACATTCTAATAGTGTCAAAAAGCTTGACTGCCTTCCCTTCTCTATCACATTTCCCCACTCACCAACCAGGGTGTCTTGGGGTCACCTCTTAAATAAATCACTTGTGCTCAAATCCTTATCTCAGGATCTGCTCCTGAAACATGCGCCGTCCCCTCTGCCATCTCAGTTCTTTGCACCTGTTGTTCTCTCCCCCCAGAACATCACTCCTCCTTTTCTATGCCGTCAATGCCTCATTCCCTCTGGAAAGTCTTCTCTAAACCCACCAAGTAGGAGTTAATGCTGTTACTTCTAGGCCCTTAACAAATGTTTGTTGAGTGACCGTTCTCCTGCAGAACTTGGCCCATCTCTTTATACCTAATGCTTATCCAGATGCACCATGATAAACTATTTGAATGTCTGTCTCCCCCAGACCAGACAGCAAGGTCCACATGTTTAACACCAGCCAACGAGACTGCCTTCTGTGTGCATGTACCTGGGAACAGACAAAGCCGCTTCTTGGCTTTAGGAGCCTCACCAAGAAGCCAGAAGACTGGTCTGTTGGAGCCGGCTTAGGGCCCACAGCAAGGTCTTATGTGGATGAGCCTCCAAGTGAGAGGATTCCCGCAGAGCCAGCAGTGACTGGTGATGCCCAAAGCCGGGGTAATTTCCCTTTGCAGGGAAGATGATGGATGCGGCTCCTTGTTGGCTCCAGCTCTGACTACCTGGGCACCCACAGCCTTCACTAGAACCAGAACATGTGCTCATTAAAGGAATAACAGACCACGGCTTTGAGGAGGAGCTCAGGCAGAAAAGGCTGCCCAGCGAGAGAGCACGGTTCAGGAGAAAGAGCATGGGCCTTGGGGTCACACGGACCCAAGTTCAACCACCATCTGCCTGCGTGAGCCTCGGGGACCCAGTTTCTCAGTTTCTTCATCTGTAAAGGGGGGTACCAGTAGAACCTACCCCATAGGCTTGTTGTGAGGAGTGGAAGCAATACCCTGAGTACAAAGGACCTAGCATGGTGCCTGGCACATAGTAGGGTGCTCAGCAATAAAGATGAACCTCTCCCATTTCTCTCGGTCTTGGGCTCTCTCACTGGACCAGAGGGATGGCCGAAGGTCTGCCTCTCCCTCAAGGGCAGGGGCTGTGTGTTATCTCTTTTGAAATCTCCAGAATCCCGGGCAAGTACTCATTAACTGTTGATTCAGCCATTTCTGCAGTGACATTCAGTGAATGCCAATCCTTCCCTATCTCTCTTCTCCTTCACTCCAGGTATGAATACTATTCAAAGAACTCCTAAAAGTTGTCATTCAGTCCCTGCTTGCCTCCTGTCAGAGACGGGGTACTCACCACCACTCCTCATTGGTGGAAGTCCCTGCACTGCGAACCCTTAGTGTCGGCAGGGACGTCCTAGTTTCTATGGTGGTCTCATCACAGCAATCCACGATTCACTCCCTCTCATTTCTCCCACACCCAGGACCCTTTCTAAGGATGCCTCCACCAGAGCATGGGTCTCTCTGCTCTACCATGCTTCTCCTTGGCCGGGGCTGCAGGTGGCCGGCGGCTCAGTCCCTCAGGACTCACCTCCGTCTGCACCAGGTTGACTCTCTGGGCCCGGAGCTCACGCACACAGTTGAAGATGTCCACCACCCCTTCATTCTCGGCCATGTCAAGCATGGTGTCAATGGCAATGAAGCAACCAGTCCTCCCAGCTCCAGCACTGGAAGAGAGGACAGGGGTCTGTGTTAGGGACCTTGGGGTGAAACCAGCCCTGGGGAGGCCCCTCCCATTCAGCCCTGTCCCCGAGGACCCTGCAGAGAGGCAGTCTACTGTAGACGTCAGACAGAACAATCTGAATGCCAATGCTACCAGGAGATCCTGAGCAAGTGACTAAATTCAGAGCCTCAGTTCTCTTTTTGTAAAATGGGAGAGTGATGCTTGCCTTTGGGGGCTTTTTTTTTAAACAGGACTGGCTTATTTTTGTTGTACTCATGTAGCAAACGCTCATTTAGCCCTTATACAGTGCCAGACATTGTTCTAAGTGCTTCACCAATGTGACCTATTCATTCTTTCATAAGGTTTTTGGGAAGTTTCTTACTCCATTTCATAGGTGACAAAACTGAGGCACAGAGCGCTTACCTTGCCCGAGGTCACCCAGCTGGCAAGTGGTGGAGCTGGGACTTTGACCCAGGCAGTCTGGCTCCAGAGTCTTTGCTCTTGCACTTCTTCTCTTAATAATCGTTATAGCACATAACGCAGTGTACACAACACGCATGCGTGCAGTCTCTCACCTTATGGCTGAAGCTAATCCATCTCTAGGGTATCTAGCATGGTTCCTGGCACACTGGAGATGCCTGATAAGCATCTCTTTCCTTCCTTTCCCCTTCCACCCCCACTTTCCTTCATCTCTCTCTTTCTTTTGTCTTCTTCAGCAAATGGGTTGATGGATGGAAGCAAGGAAGGAGAAATGAGAGACAACAGAGAGGAGTTAGTGAGAGGGCAGAAACCAGATCCTCTGAACTGTCCCAAAGGCAGAGAGTGACTCTAGAGGCACATGTCCCAAGCCCTGGGTTTGGCTCCACTTGATCCCATTTCCCAGGATCACAAGGCAGGAGCCTCAGTAAACTGGAGCAGCTGACGGTCCTGAGACCCTGTTCCGGTATCAAGTCTGACACATACTCGATTCTGATCACCTCTGGCTTCCTTTAGGAGCATCTCAGACCAAGTACAAAACAGCAGAAGAACTCAATGGGACCACATGGACCCCAGCCAGCCCTTCCAAGATCAATGTTGGGTTTCAGAATCATGGCGCTGGACAGAGACAAATAGAAGAACCTTTGCCTTAAATGCTCATGGTTTTGGAAGTGAAGGCCAGACTACCAGGGAGGCCCACTGTGGCTGCATTTTCACATCTTGTTTCCTTCATAGAAACAAGTGTCTTTGTCTCACAATGTGGAAATGAAAGGAAATGCAAAGAGGAAGAGTGATGGAATAGGAAGGAAAAGCAATGTTGGCTGACCATAAATCCAAGGAGGATAGGCCAGTGGGGACCATCACCCACAGAGATCTGGAAAGCAAACCCCTAGAAATCCATCCTCGATAATCTGGAAAGTAAACCCATGGGAAGCAGAGGATTCATTCAAGGTTTGAACTGAGTTAAGTCTGACTTCTATTTTGCCCAGAGTATACCCTGCCCCCAATCCAGACTCCCAGAAGGGACTCAGCAGGCAGGCCTTGGGGTCTAGGAAGGAGCACGAAGAGCCACATCCATGTCTTCTCTGAAGTCTCATCCTTGACCTGTTTTAGGGGCAAGAACCAGTCCACCTCGGTTTTGAATCTTGGATCTACCGTCAGTGAATAAGCTGCCTGGTGCCTGTGAGCCTGTTTTCTTACACGTATAACACGGCTCCCTGAATGGTTCTCAAGAGCATTGAGCTGTGTTTATTTCAGTGTCACGTAGCAATTAATCACTTAATCAATTAATTTAACAATTAAGCACATTTGGGATCTGACCCCTGGAATCAAATCCTGGTTCAACTACTTATCAGCTGTGTGACTTGGGGCAAATAACTCAACCTCTTTGGGTTTTAATACCCTCCTCCATAAAACGAGGCTGATAATAATAAATAGACCCACCATGGAGCATTAATAGCACAATACATGTAAATTGCATGAAATTATGTTTAAAAAGCAAAATGCACATAAATTGCCTAGCCCTGTGCCTGGCTACATAGCAATTTCTCAATGAATGGTTGCTACTTATATTCAATAAATGTTTATTGAGCACCTATTATGCACTAGATGCTGGGACTGGGGGAAGGGATATGAAGATGAGTAAGACATGGTTCCTGTCCTGAAGGATTAATAGTTGGGGAGAGGGTGACAACATTAAGAGGCAGAGAATAGTCATATTTTTAAGTGCTTATGATATGTCTGGAATTCTCTTAGGCACCTAGTGTATGCCAGCCAACCCATCTAATCTTCAGAAGAGCCTCAGGAGGGTGTACCATTCTGCTCAGGTGCATTCAGGGGACTTGCAAAGGAGATAGAGACACAGAGCCATCAGGCAAGGAGGGGCTGACGAATGTTTGCCATTGTGGCCCTTTCTCTCTGACCCCTGCTCTGGCTGCTCTTTGGGACGTGGGACTTGGGGGCAAACGGTCTATTGTCTTTGGATTGTCATGTGTTATAAAGCAGTGAATACATGTAAAATGCTTAAAGAGCCCATGGGGTACGATGAGGATTACCTCCTAATCCTCAATTGCGTCATCTGTGAACTGGGCTTTCTAATTCACACCTCGCTCTTGCAGGAGGGTGAATGGATGCTGTGTGAGAAGGGGGCTGGCTCTGAGACATCTACAGTCTATGGAGCCTCTCCTTGACCAGACTCAAGACCCTGGTGGATGTGGACACCGCCAGGGCGGGGATGAGATGCCCGGCATGCCGGTGACAGCATGTAGGCCGGACCCAAGGTCGCATTGGAAATGAGAGGCATTGGGAAGGAAAGGGCACACAGGCTAGCTGGCCTTCAGGTCCAGATGTCCACCCTCCTCCAATTCTTAACGCCCTTGTCATGACAGTTCATCTCCACTTAGGAAGATTCAAAGACATGCCACTCATTCCCAATGTGACTTTCTAGGTCACAGCTGAAAATGTCTCTTCTTCATAAGAAGGTGAAGCTGACGCTGTCCTTTTACTCTCTATTAAGGACCCTGCAGGCCAGCAATTCATTTTTAAAATAATAGAAATGAGGAGAAGCACACTTCCACCGAGGCACTCCACTGCCATGTCAAGGAGATGAGGGCAAGCATCCAGAGAAAAGCAGGTTAAAGATCCAGGCTCCGCCATTTCACACCTGTGTGGCCCCAGCACAGTGTCTACCTTCTCAGCACCTCGCTTTTCTCATCTGTAGAATGGGAATGACAATAACGCCCACCTCTCAAGGTTGGGTGAGAAGTAAATGAAGTGATATGAATCAAGTGCACCTGTAGCAGATGCTGTCAGTGCCAAGCCCACTTCCCCAGGGGGCTTTCCTATTTCAGGGCTAACAATAATAACAATGACTGCTACTGCTACTATTACTGTTGCAGTTAGACCTTGGGACCTGGGGCTCATCAGAAAGGGCTGAGCATAAGGGACACAGGCAGGGGAGTCTTTAAGGTGAAGAAGAAATGTCACAGGCAAAACAGTATCTCCCTCCTCGAGAGAGCAGAGCTGCAGGAACCCCCTTGTTTAGAGGGGGGGGCCTGTCACTTACCTGCAGTGGACCACTATGGGCCCAGCTTCGGGGGGGTTGAGGAACTTGACCTGGCGGACGAAGCCCAGGAGGCCGGTGGCATAGCAGGGGACGCCGTGGTCAGGCCAGCTGGTGAAGTGGAAGAGACGGAGCTCCCGGATCTCGTGGTAGCCTTTCTGAGGAGAGAAGGGCCTCTGTTCCTCCAGCTGCTGCCCCCACTTAGCCTGCCCAGCATCCATGGGGAGCGGCAGCTGCTGCACTGAGGAGCCAGCCTCCCCAAAGGGTGAATAGGGGCTACCGCATAGAGTGGTTCTGTGATTTGTTACGTCTGGGGACTTTGGAAGTCAATAAGGTGGAAGTGATTGCTTTATTGCAGGACTTCTCAGAGCCTTTAGTGTGCTAATATACATTCTGAATTCCCAAGGTGGCATATAACACCCACAGTGATTGCCCAGAGGAGCTTTTTTTTCCATTTTTGTTTTTTGTTAGGAAGATTCGCCCTGAGCTAACATCTGTGCCAATCTTCTGCTACTTTTTATGTGGGATGCCTCCACAGCATGGCTGATGAGTGGAGTAGGTCCATACCCAGGATCCGAGCCCACGAACCTGGGCCACTGAAGCCGAGAGCATGGAACTTTAACCACTAGGCCAAGGGGCTGGCCCCTAGAGGACCCTCTTTTGATAGGGTTTATGGGACTTATATTCAGCAGAACAGATTCAGAGACGTGTTGGCCTTAAACACCAAGTTCAAACTGCTTCCAGTGGAACAGAGGCCGTCAGTGGCTGAGACCTGGGGTCCTCCAGTTTCCCAGTGCTGTACGTACAGTCTGCATGGCTTTCAAATTAAAACAAAAGAGCAGACTTCTTTATTAATTAGATTCTTACTTAGAATTATAAGATAGGAAACAAATAAAAGCAAAGCTTCTCTGACCGATGGGGGCAGTGGGGCCTAGGGCTCTGCGGTGCCCCTGTCCCCTCTCAGCGCCCCTCACATAGACACCCGCCAGGCCACGGGGCCATTCTCTGACTATCCCATGGTCAGGTCACACCTCTGAGCCTTTGCTTATGCAGGTCCCTCACCCACTTTTTCTACTTACAAATCCCCTGTGGATATTGAGAGAGCCCTGAATAGGAAGACTGTCTGATGGTTCATTCTTTCAGTTAAAGAATAGTCACTGAGGGTTATCTGTGCCCAGCCTTGTGTTAGGCACTAGGAAGGAGGAAAGAAAAGCCACAGTCACTGTTCCTGCAACAGCTCATGGTCTAGTGAGGGAGGCAGGCTCTTAAGTGGATAATTCTGTTAAAGTGCATAAAGGAGTGTCAGCTAATCCCATCTGGGGAAAGGAGAAATCAGAGAAGGCTTCCTGGAGGAGGTGATGCCTGACCTGAGTCTTGAAACATATTAATAGTGAAAATAATAGTTAAAATTTATTACGCATCGACTGTGCCAGTCGCTCTTCTGAATACTTCAATGTACTAACTCATTTAATCCTCATATTGTTATCTCCAGTTTATGGATGAGCAAATTGAGGCTAAACAAGGTTAAGTAACATGCCCAAGGTCACACAATTAGTAAGATGTAAAGTTACAGTCTGAACCCCGGCTGTCAGGCTCCATGGTCTGCACTCCTAACCATTATGATACATGGATGCCTGAGTACTACCCAGTTGAAGAGATGGAGCGATTCTCAGGCAGAGGGACAGCACGGGCAAAGGCATGGGGATGGGACTTTGCAAGACGCGTGCACAGACTCACAAGCAGCCCAGGACTATTCAGAGGACGGTAGAAGACGGGTGCAGAGGGACAGCGGGACTGGGAGCGGGAGGCCGAGTGGGTGCTGGCTCCTGGAAGGCCTTCAATCCCACTTTAAGGCCCTTGGACTTTGTCCCAGAGGCACTGGGCAGCTCTGAGGAGGCTGCACAGATGGCTGCACAGACGGGGCAGTGCATCGTCAGACTTACATTTCAGGAGGACCATGCGGCTGCTCTGCGGAGGATGGATTTGGGTGGGTGTGTTGGGCAGCCGTGTAGAGGACATGGTTGGCGCCCAGCCAAATCCCTGCTTCTGAGTCAGTGCACCGCCCCCCCCACCCCCGCTACTGAGTCTCGGCTGCAGGCAGCTCTCTGTTGCCCCCTTCTTCAGAAAACTGCTCTCAGCTGAACAGGAGCCACCTCCCGTGGGGGTGGGGGTGGGGGTGGGCAGCTGGCATTCAGTGATGGAGAGAGAGTTAGAGAGACCAGGACTGAGGGGTTTCCTAGGACGTGGGACTTTCAATGCTACAGCCAGGATTGTCCTGGGCAAACCAGGATGGTGGGTTACCCTAATGGGGGTTCAAAAGACCCCCTTGCCTCAAGATGGGATCAGCTCTGTGCCCCAGAGCTCCCTGTGGCATCAGGCTGAGGCACCCATGCTGGCTCCTTCCCCTGCCCTGTCCTGCCAGACTCACTCCCCTACTCTTCAGAGCTCTCCCTCAACACACCATCAAGGGCACCCAAATCCTTGCCTCAGGCTCTGCTTCTCAGAAATCCAAAGGAAGACAGGGGGCAACACCAGAGGCAGAGAGTCCTGTTAGGAGGTGCTGCTGCCGAAGTCCAGGTGGGAGTGAACAAAGGCCTAGATTAAGACACTGAAGCAGGAGAAGAGAAAACAGCTTCGAGAATACTTGGAGCTTTTCACTCCATCCTCCACATCAGCTCAGCCTTGGGAGTTGTTGTTTGAGCCCTCACCACCTGCGCTGTGACTGTTTATCAAGAGCCCTCTCTACCCAATGGGACTGCGCTCTCTTCAAGGGCAGACAACACTTCCTGTTTATTATTTCTGGGTCTCTATCTTGGGAACCGATCTGGAGCTAATAACCTGGGCCTTGTTTGCTGAGCGCCCGCCCGTGTGCTGTGGAGAGGCTGGCCACGTTGAACTAATCCTCCGAGACCCGTGGGGTCTTCTAAGGGTGTCTTCTCATGAGTAATAGCTTCCCTTGTGATGGTTTGGAAGAAAAACAAGATGACACTCGGAGAAAGAACTACAGACTCCTCAATACGCTGGGCTGGCTGCAATTCTGCAAGGCCTCCCTGCTCAGGGTCCGAGGCCCAAGAAGGGCCACCACGTCCCCAGTCATTCCTCTCATTCCTGTACTAACTGTGTGTGCAGTAGACAAGATCAGTGTCCTGTTCAGATCCTCTTTGCTGCGCTGAGTCCCAGACCTTAGCTGTAGGAGTGTTGATGGCTAGTGACTCATACATGCCCCCTTTTCTGGAGAAGCACCCTCAGCTGACAGGAGCCAGCTAACCCTAGAGGTTGCCCTTCACTGGCTGGTCCACAGTCACTGGGCTGATTGACATGATGGTGCAAAAGTCTGGCCCTGTTGCCTCAAGGGAGCCAATCTGTGTTGTGGCTTATGCTCCGGAGGCCCCCGTGGATCAGGCCTAGGCTAGAGTTCTCTGGAGACTCTGTCCTTGCCTGGCCCCTTCCCCCTTCTTCTCCTGCTTCTTCCTATCTCTTACAAGCTTCTCCTGAGAGTGCTCCCTTGATACTCCATGTGCACCTGAATCCTTGTCTCAGCCTCTCCTTCTAAGGAACCCAATCTAAGATCACATGGATGTACTTGTTGTTTTCCTCCTCAGAGTGGAGGGTTGCTCTTCCCTCCTGGGTCTTCAGGACGCAGGCCTTCAGGAGCATGGGGGTTGAAGGGCGAGCTGCTGGGAGCAGTGTGTCCTGCACTCAACCATGCTCGCAGGAACGGCCCTGTGCACGTGCCTGCTCTGACCTTCATGAGGACCCATCAAACTCAAGGGCACAGCTCTCAAGGCAGTGAGGCCCCAGGCCTTCTGCATCCTCAGGCCTGTGGCCGCTTGGTCCATTAATGCCACTGTTGTAGAAAATGGCAGCTATGGTGTGGTGGGAGTGACAATGAGCTTCAGGTCAGTGGCTGAGGTGGGACTCCTGGTCCAGCCACCTTGCACCTGGGCAACTTCGGACAAGGGACTTAAACACTCTGTGCCTAACTCTTTTCATCTGTAAAATGGGAATAATAATAGTGCCTACCTCAAGGGGCTGTTGGGAGGATTAAACGAGTTAAGTTACGCAAAGCACTTAGAAAAGCACCCGGTTTAGTCAGTGCTCAATAAATGTTAATTATCATTATAACAGTAATGATTCAATAATAACTAAATTATAAATGATAATAATAATTTGCTATCTCATTCTTGCTCATCCAACTCCTGCCACCCTGACCTCCTTTCCACACCTAGACCAGACTTTCTCAACCCCAACACTGTTGACATTTTGGACATGATCTTTCTTTGTTGCTGGGGGCTGGGCCATCTTGTGCATTGTAAGATGTTTATCAGCATCACTGGCCTCTACCCACTAGATGCCAGTAGCATCCCTCCTTCCTCAGTTTGGACAGCTAAAATTGTCTCCAGGCATTGCTAAATGTCCCTTGTGGGATAAAGCCACCCCCAGTTGAGAACCACAGGCCTAGAACACATCAAGAATCTTCTTTCCTCTCGATGCTGTACGTTTCTTTCCCTCTGCCTGGGAGGATATCCCTGCCGCTCTTCCCTTGGCTGGCTGCTTCTCATCCTTCTTTGTCTGCCTAAATGCCTCCTCCTCCAGGAGGCTCTCTCTGACCCCCTCATCTTCCTGTCTCCACTGGTGGCATGTTTCTTTGTGGCTTTTACCACCATGCGTCATTATGCCATTTATTTGTCTGTTGAATTCTGTTTGTCCCTCTGCTAAAGGTGAGATCCTTTGGAGCAGGATCCACATCTAACTTGATTGCTGACCTCTCCCTGATGCCAAGCACAGAATGAGCACAGAGCAGACCCTTGCTCACCGTGCATCCTGAATGAACAAACAAGCCGGCTTGCCTAGTGGACAGGCTGCCAACAGCCACAGGGAAATTTACCTTCTGGACTGTGAAGGTACGTATGACATATTCTGCCAGGGGATCTGTTTCGATCAGGGTGACTTTAATGTCTCCGTAGACCTCTGTGTCATCTGGCCAGTAGCGCACACACTTCACCTGTGAGAAAGGACAGAGATGAGGACGTATGAGCAGGTGGCTGAGGGTGAACAGCAGCTTCATCTGGTCTTCCCGTTCAAATAAACCCAAGGGCTACTTCGGTGGAATTTCAGTCCAAGGGGTTCTCATCTGGCCAGGGATCAGCAAAGTGCACAGGGCCAAGCTCAGTCCCAGAGGAACTGGAGCCATCAAGAATAATGGTAGTACCTTCTTTTGCAGAGCTCCATACAATTTTCAAACCGATTATCACACTAAGTGATCAAATAGATCTAGGTGAGACAGGCAAGTAGTGTTGGCCCCATTGTATAGATGAAAATAATACTCAAGTCTGGAGGTTTGGCGATTTGTCCAAGGTCAGTGGCCAGTTTCCACTTTTGGCTGGGTCCTTGTTCTGTTCTATCAGGGCTGGGACAGCTGAGTCACGTTAGCTGAGCAGAGATGAGAATAAAAGCTGGGATATAGTGAGGAGGTGGAAGCAGAAGTGGTTGGGAGGGGACATTATTAACAAGTGGTATTCGGGGGCTGGAAGGCGAAGGCTCTTAGCTGGGGAAAGGACAGCAAGTGCTGGCCTCAAAGGGAAGTCTGTGCAACCACTCTCTGCACGGGCGGTGGGTGCAGACGCTACGAACAAGCTAATCCCACGTTTGACTCTAAGCCACAGTCCACAGGAGGAAGAAGAGATCATCATTGTTTTCCCCTTAAAAGAACAAAAGCATTACCATTCCGGGGGACGCCGCGCGGCCCAGAGTGGCATTTCCCACAGTGTGTTCCGCTGGGTGCTAATAGGTGTTAGATAAAAAAACAAGAAACAAAAAAACAAACAAAAAAAGGTTTTGTGGTCAAATGAGTTTGGGAAATGCTGGATTAAACAAAGTTAAACAGGCCGCTTTGCTACAGGACCACTCAGCTCAGTTCATGTGCTCAGGCTAATGTGTTTTATGACTCTCCAAAAGGGGCAAAGAGTACGCAGCATTTCCCAAACGTATTTAACCATGGAACCCTCTGCTCACTAAGCAACCTGCAGACTAGCATCCCATGGAACCCACTTAGGGAAATGCTGGCATAGCACAACAGGCTTTGGAGGCAAACGGATGCATCACTTGGATCTAACACTCAGTTGCTGTGTAGCTTCCAGAAAGTGCTAAAACCTCTCTGAGCCTCAGCTTCCTATTAATAATGATAGCTAACACTATTGACTGCTTACCATGTCTAACACTGCTTACTATGTCTTCTACGAACACGTTACATGTATTAGTTTAATTACTATCACCACAATCTTATGAAGTAGATATAGATACTATCATCATCCCCATTTTACAGATGAGGAATTAGAAGCACAGGGAAGCCAAGAAAATTGCTCAAGGTCAACTGTTACTGAGGGATGGAGCCAGGATGCAGAGGCAGGCCGTCTGAATAATTACCAGCAACGTTGCCTCATACAATTGTTGGGAGAGAAAATGGAGTGATGCACAATAAGCCTCTGGCACAGTGCTTGGCTCCTAGCAGGAGTTCCATTAAGAGATTGCTCTCCTGTCTCCTCCCCAAATCCAAATTAGATTCAGGATCCATCCATCAGGGGAATCTGTCTCCAATGTAGGATATGTTACAGCATTTGCCTCTGAATTCTTATATCCTAGGCTGGCCTTTTTGTCCAAAGTAGCCGCACCCTGGGCCTCTGTCCCTGGGGAGCAGTCCTGAGTGGAGGCACCATGGGCACTAAAATGAGAGTCAAGAGTGAGAGATCACGGCCAGGTTCTGGCTGGGTGACTTCAGGGTGGTTACTCCACTCCCTTGGGTCTGTTTCCTCATCTGTAAAACTGGGGAAAGGACTAGAAAAGAGTGGGCTCATGGATAAAGTCTCTCCTGGCCCTGAATTCCTATGAGGTCATGAGGTCTCCATCCCTTTTTCCTGGATTACGACTGACGGCCCAGATTCTCTGTTTCCCATGATCCTGGAGGCCAGGACTCTATTTTCATGGATTAGCTGACTCTTGCTAAGACAAAAACTTACCTGCCCACTCTTTAGTTAGCTCACGTGATAAGGAGAGAGGCCCTCTTAAGTCTGCTGTTCGTGCACCTGCCTCTAAACCCAGCAGCCCACCCACCCACATGCCACAGTTTACCAAGTAGGCAGAAGCAAGCTGAGAATTGCAGTCCCATTTCTAAGCCCTAGGAGTAGCTAAGGACCACGGAGGAGAGAGTCGAGATAGAGCAGAGGGGGAGACCAAGGCCTGAACCCTGAAGAATATGAAGGTTTAGGGGTCAGGGGAAGAAGAGCAGGTAGCACATGGTCAAATGCTGCTGAAGGTTGAGTACAATGAGAAGAGAGAAGTGGCTGTTGGACTTGTCAACATGAAGGATGCTGGTAATATTGACGGTATCACTATGGGTGGAATGGAGTGGGTGATGATCTCACTATGTTGGGTTGAAGAAACAGAGCCTGTGTGTGTCTTTAGAATTTGGCAGAAAAGTGGGGACAAGAGAATCAGCTTTGTTTGCTTGTTCTATCTTTTTAAGAGGCAAGGTACTCAGCATGTTTGTATGCTGAGGGGAATAATCTAGCAATGAGAAATAGATTTATTTTTCAAGTGAGGGGGGAAGATGAGAAAACTCTCGAGCAGAATCTGTTTTGTAAGGCACCAGGCTTACATTTGAAAGGGGAAAAGTCATTTCATTCATCATATGAGGCTGAGCCATAAGAAATGGCCAATATTCTATCATTTGGGGTCAACAAAAACAGCCACTTTTTACGGTTCAACCTGATAATAGAGAGGAAGAATGAGAAGATGGCTGTAGATACAAGTAGGGGTGAAGATGAGAGAGTTCACATCTGATGGCTTTAATTTCCTCAAACTGTACGAGATGACGTTATCAACGGAGAGTGAGGGTGAAGAAAGGGATGAGGGGATTTGAAGGGAAAGAAAATTCCTAGAATATGAAATAGGAGGGGGATTTCTTTCTTGTAGGTTGCTGTGAGGGTGAAATATTGAATAGGAGGCACTTGGCACGATGCACAGAACAGAGAGATGCTCAGGATTGCAATGCCAGCATCCTCTATCCAGGTAACTGCAAGAGGGGCTTACCCTGCCCACTTCCACGAGGTTTGTGACCATGACGATGCTGGCCGAGTTCTCCTGCCAGATCATTCTCCAAAAGTCCTTTACAGTCTCCTGCATTGGACCTGCCAACAGAGAAGGTGACAGGATCAAAGACTGTGAGTTCAGGAAGCAGCCAAGAGGCTGTCCTGGCTGGTTGGTCAGTCAAGGCTCCACCCAGGTGAGCAAGAGTGAGGCCAGGTGATCCTCACTGGGACACTCGAGTAACTGACACTGGGGCCTGAGGCATGTGAAGTTGGAGTATGGATAACAAAAGCCACATTCCAAACTTGCAAAGTCTGCAGCATCCATGGGAAATGCCGACAGCTTCCTTCTCTTGTCCTTCTGCTCAGACCCTTTTCACTAGCCCCACTTTTCTGCTGACCCTTCACCTTATCTGGACTATATTACAGGTTAATAATATAGCTTAAGGGAATTTTCAAAAATTGGGCTGCAGAATCTCAGTGAGAGACAGGAAGGAAATTGGGGTGTGGAAGGTAGGAGGACAGAGAACTGCCAGGAGCCAGACGCTGAGAGCAAAAACAGAAAGGAGGAAAAAAAGTAGATAAGAAATTGGAGATAGGATCTCAGAGTCCAAAGTAATTTTCCGGGAAATTCCTCTTTCAATGTCTTGGGCAGTCATCATTTTTAAAATTACAAGAGTCATACCTGCATTTGATATAAAATTTTCAATGCCGTTTTTCTGTGAATATATGTATATGTAGGCATTTACTGTAATAAGCATCATATATATTACATGCATTTTCCCATGCCCTTAACAATTCTTACCAAGCATGACATTTTTCATAGCTGCATAATTTTCTGTAATATGGAAGTATCACACTTTATTTAATCAATCTACCAGTTGTCGGGCATTTAAGATTTCCCACTTTTTTCCTGTTATAGATGACACGGTGAAGAGAATCCTTACACATAAGTCACTGTCCACATATATAATTATCCACAGGATTTCCTCCCAGAAGGGTTTGAGAGGTATGATCAATACTAAGCCTTCTGAAAACATACTGGCGAGATGCTTTCTAGGACAGTTGGCTGCTTCTCTCTTCTGGGCACACACCCATTGAGGAGATAAGGCACCGACCGCTCCAGTTCTGGATGGTAGATATTGATGGCCCATGCCTGAGGCTGATGCTCTTGGTCCATCCTGCCTGATTATTTTCTAATGACACCTCCTTCCTCTCTTACTCATGTCCCTCCCCACTATAGGTGAACCTGTCACCTCCTTCCTTCCCAAAGAAACAAATGAACAATCTCAAGGACCTCTGGAAACTCTCCAGCCCTACTCTTATGTGACTTCTTTGCCCGTAGCTCATTCCTCTCCTCCAATGAAGGGCAAGGGCCCTTTAGAGGAAAAGGAGAGTGCTTACCTTGAGTTGCAATGTAGTGCCGAGGTCTATGGTACCCCTGGATAACAAGAGAAAAGCACAGTGAAAAGCCTCCAGTCAAAGGTTTCAAACAGCATAATATTAATAGCTTATCCTTTCCAAGACATGTTTTTCTCACAGGCAAAGTGAGAATAGCGTTAGACATTTCCCAGAGAAGTGACAAAGATTAAATAAGATAATACACATCAAGCACTGAGTAAATCACTAAATGATTATTATTATAGTTACTTGTGAGGTGCCCATGCCAGCTTGCCTTGGAGCTAGTGGACTGGGAGCAAAGACTGCATGGGCATCACTCATGCCCCTGCACCCAGAAAGAAGTGGAGAAAGACTTTTCAGGTTTTGGTGGGACATCACCCCCCAAAAAGTCTTTCCTGAGCCATGACTATATGCAGAACACTGCATGAAGCCCTGTAGGGCACCTGAAAGAAGAAAACCATTGCATTGTTGGCTCTTTGCATTACCAACAGTTAGAAAAAGAAAATTGGGAGTGAAACCACACTGCCTCTCTGTGCAACATAGATGGGCTTGGAATTAGTCCTGTTCATCGGGAAGGACCCTGTGTAGGTGTGACCTAGAGACTGATAAAGCCACTCTCTAATTCAGAGACCAGTTTCTGATTTCCCTGTACATTTCAGAGTGTTCCAACAGGCCTGCTGTGCTCTGGGGTGGGGTATCTCTAATGCTCCATAATCCTAATCACTGGGGAAGAGGTTGAAGGTGACCTTCTCTTTGGCCCAGGCATTGCATACATGGAGGATCCCCTTTCTTGTTACAGAGAAGTATATCCTATTGGATAGAAGTTCAAGTTTTGGAGACAGATCTGCATTCAGTATGTAACATTGAATGTAATTAATATTTATTTAATGAATAAATGAGTGAATGAATAAATGAATGGATAAATTTTTAAAAAGACAGATGATAACTATAGAGTATTATTGGAGGAGAGGTGGTTGACAACCCTGAAATCTACTTTCCTTTATGTTTAACCATCTTAGGAGAAAATAAGTCCTAAAGTTGGATGAATATTTATTTTTGTCTTTAACATTGGTGATCAGTCTTTCTGTCCTGTCGAGATGGATGAGCTGACTCAAAGCCCCCTTCTTCAGGAAATAAGCCAGAATGACCATCTGTGTGGTTTACGGTGAAACAGACATGGCATCTGTGAAGTTCTGGATCCATTTTCTGATTCAAAGACTAGTTTTGGAGTACCCTGTACATTTCTCTCCCTCATTCCACTTTCTCCATAAATATTTAGTAGGTACCTCCTAATTCCTAAACATACTCTAGTCAGGCCTGGGTTGATTGTATGAGCCCAAGGCCAGAACTGTTGGATTAACCACATATGAATCAAGAACCCCATCTAAACTCTTTGTTTGAGTGGTCCTATCTTTTCTAGTGAAGTTGTCAGCTCCTTGAAGACAAACACTACCCCTAAGTTTAAGAAAAAGTTCCCATGGAGCCTCACACAGTGTGAGACTCAGAGCAAATGCCCAATAAACCAGCGGCTCACAAACCAACTAGAAAGGCAGCAATGCAGGGTGGCTATGTGCATAGACTCTGGACCTAACTGCCTGGGTTTAAATCCTGGCTCTGCCCTCAAAGGCTGTGTGGTCTGGGGCAAGTTACTTAACCTTGCTGTCCCTCAATTGATTTTTTGCTATTAAATGGAGATATCAGCATTTATATCATAGCATATCTGTTGGGATTAAATAAGTTAATACAAGTTACTAGGTGCCAGGCACTATTCTAAGATTTAACGTATATATCTTTGCTATTGTTATTATTTTATTGTCTATTTGGCAAAGATTTATTGAGCGCCTACCACAACTAAAAGTCTATGCCGGCCACTAGGGGGACCCTGAAATGGTAAGCCACGCTCTCCCCTCTGCACACGAATGTGGTAAGAGCCCTCCTCTGTGACAGAGGTAGGAAGCAGACGAGAGGTAGGAAGAGTGATCTGTTCCTCCAAGTCAAGATGGACAAGGCTTCCCAAGCTCACAGGAAGAATTGGACTCTGGACGTTTTCTTGAGTAGGTTTGGGAATAGAAAGGAGTCTCCTAGAGCCTGGAAAGGTGCGCTTTCTCAAGTCCACCCTCTTCTGCTGTCCTCATCATCACCCCTCACAGCCCTCAACCTCCCTGACCAGGGCCACGGAACCAGCCTCTTGCTGACCTCCCTGCCTCCAGTCTGGTCCCACAGCCCACCTGTTTTCTGCCAGAGCGAATTTCCCAATGCACATCTGATTATGGTATTTCCCCACTTAAAAGCCTGCAATGGCTCCCCATTGCCTGCAGGATAACATCGAAATGCCTTAGCTGGGGAATAATCGTCTGTCTCCAGCCTCATTTCCTTATTTCCAGTCGTCCCTCTCCATCCCCTCCCACGCGCCCCGTGTCCCAGCTTCCCCACACTGCACTTCAACTGATACCTCCTTCCTCCCGAGCGGGCCTGCAGGGCTTTGCATGTGCCCGATTAATGCACTTACAGCAGCTGCTGCAAGAAGTTTTTGTACTTTTCTCCTCCTGGGCCACGGGACCTGCCACCCAGAGTGGGTGCAGTTTTCAGGAGAGGCTGGTTGGTGGCATACATGCATGAATATGTCTCTGAGGTGAGGTTGGGACACTCCCTCAACGCACAGGCTGGAAGACAAAAGACTCTCTGGAGGAAACTGATTTGGAAGATTCTAATGTGCTTGAAAGTCAACGAGATGAAATTCTGAGCAAGAAATTCCCATTCCAGTTGTGGGATGAGATGACTTGGGTTCACTATTTTCATTTAATTGTTCGCTCAGTCATTCAATATTCAATCTACAGGTATTAATTGAGCATGTAGTACCGTGTACAAGGCACTTGGAAATACAAAAGTCGACCAGATGGATGTGGGCTCTGCTTTTGAGCAGCTTACAGACATCAACTCACTGGGATAAGGGCTCCCCAGGGGAAGATGTGCGGCTCTTTGGAGCTCCCACGGGGAGCTGACTCAGTCAAGGAGGCCAGAGAAGTGTTCTCTGAGGTGGTGGTTGCATTGGCCTCCTAAGCCTAGGGTGGGCATCTTGACATCCCTGTTATTCCCATTTCATCCCTTCAGAATAGCCTCAATTTCTCACCCCTCTCCCATGGCTCACTGGCTGTCTTGCTCCTCTTCAGAAAGAATAGCCGTGTTTCCATCTAGAGTCTCAGCACTGGCCATTCCCTGTGCCTACTCTGTCCCCAGATCACCCAGGCTTGCTCTTTCCCTCCATCCAGCCTTCTGCTTGGTTGTCAGTCCCCTCCGCAGGGAGCCCTTCCCTCACCACCCTGTCAACCTATTTCCACTTTCTCTGGTTTCTTTTTCTTTAGCATACTTATCACCAAATGGCATAATGTTCTTTGTATATTTACATGCTTATTGTCTGTTTCTCCAGTTGAATGAGACCTCCAACAGAGCAGGACTGTCTCTGGCTTGTTCATCTGTGTCCCCAGCACAGAGAAGTCAGCCCAGGCCATCAGGCTTGATAAATGCATATCAAATGAATGAATGTATGCATACTGTGTGCCTGTGCACACAGCACACTGCATCTAAGCAAAGAGACCCCCTCTGGCCTCCAAGAACCCATGCAGTCCCCAAAGAGAAAACATTCTAACCACGCAACTCCTCAGCACTGGAGATAAAAGGAAACGTATTGCTCAATTGGGGCTCCTCTGGGGATTTGCCAAGAGCTGGTACAGGAAACTTCCTAACCTTAAAAGAACTTTGAGTTCATTTAAGTCCCACCTACACAGCACGCAGCTCGACTGCAAACCAGCACTGGGCCTGCCTCCATCTGTCTGTGAGCAATGGAAAGAGGTTTGCATCCAAAACGCATTTATCTCACTCTGCACTCATGCATCTGTTACTTACTGGGGACCCAGATGCGATATTTATTTCCAGACTGGTAATTTATAACAGATTCAAGTGGCCAATACATTCTCGGGTGTGCAAACAAAGCCGCCAGTGGGATGGTTCAGACAGTAGCAGAACCATGGCCTCTGGAGGCACAGACAGGGCTGGCCCCATCCAGCTCATTATCCAAATGGGGTCGTTTTAATGGATCGTCCAGATCCAGTTGTGGATAAATGATTCTAGTGTGGGCAGTTAGCTCTATGGGGACTCAGGAGGATTTCAGCTGGGGTGGAGACCAGGGCAAAAGGGTGAGGACCTAGAGAGCTCTGTTGGGTGTGTCTTGCAGGGAATCCCCATAGCGACCCCAGGAATTTTAACTTTGCTGGAGCAGATGATAGGTTCACAACTAGTGTGAATCCCCTGCCCTCCATCCCATATTGGTAATACTGTGCTAGGAGGTGCTTGTCCTTGGTGTCTTCTCTGTCCCTCTGTTGGCCCTCTCTTCCCTTCCATGCTTTGCTTTGTGCCATGGGAGGCTGGCCTGTATGGACTACACCACGGGCTTCCATGCCCTCTGGCTTCTAGTTGGCTGGGTCAGTGGGGAGCAGAAGCAGGAGCTCACATGCCATGGGGAGGTTGGGGTGTGTGTTCTTTGAGATCTCCCCCGTCAGGTCACCATGGGTCAGCCTTGACTCTCTATCAAAGGCTACAGCTCCTATCAGGCAGCCCTCTCCTTACAGTTACTCTCTCCCTCTCTAACTCTGGAGCTCCCTGAAGTTGCTGGCCTGGGGATACCGCACCCCACCCTGTCAGATTCCCTTAATCCTCTTCCCACCCTTATTAAACTTTCCTCTGTTCCTCCCTTTGAGTGAGCCTCTGTTTCCAAGTGGCACCCTGAGAGATAGATACTTTACATCAGTTATCACATTCTTGTGGGGTAGTGTTATTATCCCATTTTACAGATATCAGAACGTGCAACTAATTTATCTAAAATCATAAAGCCAGTAAGCAGAAAGGCCTGGATTCAACAGGCTCTACAAGGACTGAATTCATGACTTTGGTCTCATGAGCCCTTGACTCTAACCATTGAGATCCAGCACAGAGTTCAGTGGCAGATATTAAGATAGCATCTAGCAGAGGCTGTTTGCTTGTCCACGCAATCTACTTAAAGAGAGAGGGAGAAGGCTGTGGTGTGTCCTAGCTGGGCAGAGAAGTGGATTCTAGCTGTGTGACCTTGGGCAAGGCTCTTAACATTGACCGCTGGTTTCTTATCCTTAAAGACTTGCAGAATACATTGTAATGATAGAACCTGATAGAAATGGGAGGCGTTATTAGCACTGATGTTGCAGAGATTCACTTGCATTTCAGGCAATTTCATTTGTTGCTTATAAAACACTAAAGTGCGTCTCGGCTCCGACTGCATTCAGATGCTTACTCAACTTTGGATTGAGCGTCTGTCCTGGAAAGTGACTTTTACTGGAGGTTACTACTCAGACAACAAATGCCAGGTATGGCAACTCAGGCCACAGACCCTGCATGGACCATCGCCCTCAGGGCTGCCACATCCATTCAGCTGTAGACAAGGTCAAGGAGAAATGGAAGGAACCAACTCAATCTGGTTTAGCATGTGCTGATCGAGTCCCCACTGAGTGCTGGGAGCAAGGTGTGTCTGGGAGAAGGTGGGGAGGGTTGGAGGAAGAGCCCTGGGCTGGGAGTCATTCAGGTCTGGTTCCTCGCCTGATTCTGCTGCTGATCAGCTGCACGGCTTTAGGCAAGCTTTGCAATCTCTTTAAACCTCAGCTTCGCTATCTGGAAAATGGGGGTGATTATCTTACCTTGGAGGGCCATTGACAGGTCTTGATAAACTGACTCATTGAAAACCACCCACCATAGTGTCCAAGAGTGACTCATTTAGAGCCACTGGCTGTCCTCATTGCTTTACTATTATTATTAAAACCAGCAGGGCATGGTGGGGGAGGCATCCCTGATTCAGACTCCTGCTCCCTCTTCCCTCACCTCTTAGCAGTGTGAGCCTGGATAAGTTACTTGTCCTTGAGAGCCTCAGCTTACTCATCTGGAAATGGGTAGTAATGACGCTTACTTTGTGAGGTTGTGGTACTAGTTAAGGTAATGTTTGCAAATGACAAATGATCACTAATTCTTCATTTACTATCCATCCTTCTCGTCTGGCTGATTCTTACTTGTTGGCTAAGGCAGCATGGTGTCACCTCCTCCAGGAAAACTTCACGGACCACTCGCCCCCACCTCGAGGCCTTGATTCTTCTATGTGTTCCTGTAGCCCCTGCTCTCAGAGGGTCTCTTTTCTTATCTGACTCTCTGAGCAGACTCGAGTCCCCTTTAAGGTCTGTATTTCCAGCACGCTGTGGAGGATCTGTTCAGTGTTTGTGAAATGAATACTAGATGCATGAAAGAAAAGCTGAAGGCATGATGAGTGAATGCTCAACTGTTTCGCGTCAGGTCGGAGATAGGCTATTCTGAACCAGCCATGTCCTTGTGAACTTTCTCAGAAGGGCCATAGTGACAGAGACCATGACCTCCGCTGAAGCTCCAGCCCCAGTTCCTGACCACATGTAGGCCCTTCATTAGCCAGGGTCCAGACAGGGAACTAGAAACCACCCTAGGTGTTTCACACAGAGGGAATTCGGTATAGGGAGTTGGTTATATAGCTGATGGGGGAACAAAAATGCTAAACAGGGGACAGTGGGATGACCCAGAGATCAGCAGCAGCAGCAGCAGGCTGTGACCATCCTTAGAACTAGTGGGATAATGGGAGACAAAGAAGCTGCCAGAGCCCAGGAGCTGCGACCACTTGGCCAACCTAGAACTCTCATGGGCCTGCTTGATGGAAGCGGAGGCAGAGATGGGATGTAGCTACTGCAGGAGCTGCCATGCAAAGAAGTGAGAGAGGAGGAGAAATATACTGGCTTCTTCCTTCTTCTTACCTTGCAATCTCCTATCAGTGCTTCCTTTGAAAGAGTCAGCTCACTCTCCTCCCTGCACCACACACACACACACACACACACACACACACACACACACACCTGTAAAGCAGAGTGGGGAAGGACAAGGAATAGATCTGAGGGCACACAGGCAAATGACCAACACAAGGTTCAATAAATATTTGCTGAATTAGTGAATCATCTGGCTCAGCCTAGATTATGGGGAATTCAAACGCATGCCCCTGCAGTTTATAGCTTGTCTATAAACACCCTTTGGAGTCAGAGGGACCAAAGTGGATCTCTGAGCCACTTCATCAAGGTCTTTGGGCTCCTAGCTGAGGATCTGAGAAGCCTGGCTTGAATCAGTCAGGCTGGGATGTCCATCCGGCCCCAGTGGCAATGCTCCTCCTTTGCAAACTCTCTCATGTCCATGGGCACTCAGCTCGGCTCCTGTTGTATTTAGGCCCTTGCTCAATAGGCTCGGAAATCCTGAAGCAGCCCCTTCCCTAATTGGGTTTCTTAATTCCAGACTCTCCTCCCTCTGATCTCTCTTCCCCTTGGTGACAGATAAGTCATCTGGAAGCTCAGCCCTGAACCGGTAACCTCCTTGATCAAAAACTTTCAACAGCTTTCTTTTGCCTACAGGATAAAGTCCAACTTCCTAGGTTTGATCATAAACCATCAAAGATGTGGCCCCAACCTCATTTTCCACTATTCCCATTAATGGTCTCTGCTCCCCTCACACTGAGCTGCTACATATCCTCTGCTTCCAGCTGCTACATCTCGGCTCGTGCTGTTCTCTCGAAGAGAGAGAGCCCATCTTCCCCCTCTTTGATTTTAAATTCTACCTGTGCCTGAAGCTTTGGTTCACATCACATTGTGCATTCCTGATGGAAGAAGTGATTTCTTCCCCCACCTCTGAATCCCTGCAGCATTTTATCTGAACTTATGACACTTACCACTTTCTAGTTTGCCCTGGAATTATTGATGTGCACAGCTTAGCTTCCTGCTAAGGTTTTAGAGCATAGACATCGTGGCATTTTTAGCTTTACGTTCCCATAGCATCCAGCATACAGAAGGCACTTTTAAATTTTTGTTGCATAAATGGCTATATCTTCAAATGAATGAACGAATGGACAAATAGACATACATACAAATGACTTAACGGTTGAATGAACAAGCCTGGCAGTTGTCCTGGGGCCCTGCAGAGCAGGCTTCTCCGGCCAGGCTGAAAGAGGCTGTAGCTTTAGATGGATAACCAACTTGAGTTACACTAGTTACACAATCAAAGAGGAGCCAGACCACCCTGGACATGTTCTGGGAGGTCCACCTTGTGGGGGAGACACTGGGGTCAGCCACAGAAGGTGAGCCTGCTGTTGTCAACCCCGGACCCCAGCTGCCCAGCCCTTGAAGACCCTCACATCAATGTAGTTGGCGTTGATGTAGTCAGAGTGTGGGTCTCCATCCAACACCAGCAACCTCACTCGGGAATGGTCATCTACAGAGAGAGCAGAAAACAAGGAGACAGGTGAGAAGAAGCTTTTGATGAGGGGCGAGCACTGCCTTCCTTTAGAGCCACCATTTATTAACCACTGCAAATCAGGCATCGTGCTACTTCTGCACAAATTCTCTCGTTTAACCCCCAGCACCGCCCTCAGTTCTTATGCCCATTTACAGATGAGAAAGTTGAGGCTCAGGGAGATTACTGTGCCCTGAAAGGACCTGTATGTGCTTATTCTCTAACCTGCCCTTCTGATTCTGGTTTTGTCATTACCCATCTAGGCAAGTAGGTAGGTACTCAATCTGCTTGTTTAAGTCCTGGTAACTTTGTCATTAAAATGGGGCTGGAAATACTTTCTCCACAGCACAATGCAAGAGACACCATATGAAAACACTCGGGCTGCAAGGAGTGTTGAATTGGAATTAATGTGCTCCATTTCCAAGCTTGCTTAAAAAAGGCAAATCTACTTATTTTCCACATGGGCACAAATTGCTTTTCTTTTGCTTCTTGGAGTCTTGTTGTAAACAGATTGTTGGCCACATATGGTTATCAATACTACCATTCAAGTGAAGCTGACTAAATCATTATAAAAGAGGTCATCAATAACTAAAGATCGTGTGACAGAGAATACCACTTCAAACACAATCTAGACATAAACAAGATTTGCAGGATTTAGTCGATCGTACACTTACTTCAAATAATGCCAAATAAAAACCATTAAAAAAAACCTAGTACAGCGGAAGAATCAGGCTAATCCTTTACAATTAATTAAAGCATGCTCCGACATGCTAATAGACACACACAAATGCAACACCCGGCTGGGTCTGGTTGGCAGGAGAGGCTCAACTTGCCGGCTAGGTCACTGGGCACACAGCACCGATGTCGCTGCAACCACTGGCCAGCCCACCTTACTCTAGGGCATGAGTGGGGTTCTCAGCAAGCGGGCTGGAGAACTCTGGGTATCCCCAAGCGTCCCCAGGGGTCAAGGAGGTCAGGTCAGCTTATCCTGTTAGCCTTATACAGCACTTTGCAGTTTATAAGCTCAGCTAGTACTCCTGACTGGAAGCCCCTGAGAACAAGGACGTTATTTGTTGTGTTTCCTGACCCGTCCTCTGTACCTCCACGTGGGGCAGGTCCTCAACAAGTACTCTGTAAATGTATGAATGGCTCAGCTCATTGGACTCTCACAATGATCCTGGGAGAGAAGGAGGATGGGTGCTCTTAGCCCTTGTTACAAATGAGGAAACTGAGGCTTACAAGGACTCACTGGTCACATGGCCAGTGGATGGTGGAGCTTGGAAGAGTGGGGTTCTCTTAACTCTGAGGTCAGATACTCCTGCTTCCAAAGGTCTAAGCAGGATATTAGAAACTTCTTCAAGTGTACACAGCAGAGGGAATCAATGACAGAGAAGTGGCTACCCAGGAGATGGAAGAGTTGAGAAGCAAAACAGAGGAGGGTGAAGCAACTCAGATATAAGCACCAAGAAGGAGACACTATCTCCCCAGGGCTGGAGGGACAGAGGGAAGAGGCAGGGCTGCCAGAACTCAGAGGCTGGAGGGACGGAGGAAAGAGGTAGAGTTGCCAGAACTCAGGGCTGGGGCCCCCTGTGGAAACTGGGGCCACAGTGGGCTTCTCTGGGGGGAGCTGGAGGAAAGGAGGATCTTCCTTGGCTTCTAAAGAAGGCGCCTGTGAGTGGGACAGAGGGGGAGAAATACCCTGGCTTCTTCTTTTCTCCTGCCTTCCAACCTCCCACTAGTTCATGTCATTGGCCAAATGCAGCCAGAAGCCAGCTGATAAGAGAGACTGAGACATGTAACCTGCAGGGGTCCGTTCCCCGTGACAGAAAGTTGAGCAAGAGAAGGTAAGGAATGGATTGGAGGATGGACAAACAGGCCCAGGGCTGGCCAGGATACCATCCATATCCATTATTTAATTAACTAATCAATTAATTCAAAAATTATTCATTGAGTATCTCCTGTGTGTCAGGCAGTATGCTAGGCAGTGAGATACACTGGATGCCACTTTTATTCATCATAGGGAAGAGTTTAAGTGGAAGCAACTAGAGGGGGTAGGTGGGAGGTCTAAGTCACCCCTTTGGGTGGGTGGGAGAGTGGGGTGTGAAGTTGGGGAGGGGTTTGAAGCTAGCCTTTATGGAGTTCGTGGGAGCTATCAGACACTTTACATACATAATCTCACTCAATCGTTTATTCCTCAAAATAGCTCTATAGGTCATTATAATAACACCGTCATGATGTAGTATTATTCTTTCCATTTTACAGATGAAGAAACTGGGGCTCAGAGAGGTTAAGCAAGTCTCCCGTGTTACACAGTCTGTAAGTGGCAGAGCTGGGATTCCATCTCAGGTCTGACCCTGAACCCTTACTCTGTTCACACAGTGGGCTGCCCCTGGACCTCCAGCATCTTGCAGTTCTACTCCTGAAGTCTGTGCCAATGTTTGCTCCCCAGCTCCAGCAGTATTCTAGCCCCAGAGAGTGGGAGTTCCTGGGGGACATCCCGCCCAGCAGGGATTCAGATGAGGCCCAGCACCTGACTCTGAGCTCAGGCTGTTAACCTTGTTACCAGTGGTTCCAAAAACTGTAAGCCTTAAAAAAGTGAAAATGCATATTGTGTTTTCACTCAGTGGTCTCACTAATGACTTATTGATTCAAAAATCTCCTTTATTTATTGAATTATGCCTGCCCCTAGGGGGGCTATAGCACTGGAAGCAGAGATTCTGGTTTAAAGGAAAGGGAATTTTTTAAAATATAAAATGAAATTTAAAATCTGAAAGCAAAAATGATTAAAAACAAAACAAAAAGAAACAAACTTATTTCTTCCGGTTAAATATTCTTGAAGATGAAAGGTGCTTCCAACCAACAGAAGATGGTGTTGACCAATCTCTCCTCTTCGTTCATTCATTAAGCAGACATTCACTGAGCACCCACTACGTGCAGGCTTGTTGAAGGGGCTAAAAAGTATTATCAAAATGATACTCACGCTTAGTGGATTTGATAGTGCAGTAGGGGAGACAGACTATACCAGAAGTGGAAATTCAAGATCTAGAAAGTGGGGAACAGAGGGCTTTGTGAAGTGATATGTGAATGAGGAATTAAAAGTGAATAAGGCTTGGCCAGTGGACAAGGAGGAAGGGTCTTTCCACCAGAGGGAACAGCAAGAGTGAAGGCAGAGATCCTGGAAAAGCAAGCACCTTGGGGAAGCTTCAAACAGTTTCGTGTCTTGTGAGCACAAAGTGCGAGGGGATTAGCAATAGGAGGAGAGACAGAGGAGGTGGGCGGGGGTTAGACTATAAAGGGCTCTCCAGGCCACTTTAGGGCACTTAGATGCAAGGAACCACACTGCGCTCTGCAGGGCATCGAAATACAGACTCTATTTTCTGAGACTGTGAAAGGCTATTTTAGTATGAAATGACCAAGATTCATTTCCACATGGGCTAACCTGGGGTAAGTAGGATAAATTTTTAATATGTGATGTGATGTATGGAGCTGTGGGTCAGATCTGTGTTCAGATCTTAGCTCCATCACTTAGCAAGTCAACGATATCTTTTAGCCTTGGTTTTCTTAGTAAAACGGAGCCAATACTATATAGTTCACAGACTGTTGGGAGGATTAAATGAGGAAATGTGGGCATGAAAAGTGATAGGACATTAAGATAATGAAAAGACAAGCCACAGACTGGGAGAAAAATATTTGCAAAGACATATCTGATAAAGGACTTGTATCTAAAATATACAAAGAACTCTTAAAACTCAACAATAAGAAAACAAATAATCCAATTAAAAAATGGGTAAAAGACCTGAATAGACACCCGACCAAAGAAGATATACAGATGGCAAATAAGCATATGAAAAGATGTTCAACAACATGTATGTCACTAGGGAACTGCAGATTAAAACAACGAGATACCTCTGCACACTTATTAGAATGGCCAAAATTCAGAACACAGACAACACCAAATGCTGATGAGGATGTGGAGCAACAGGAACTCTCATTCATTGCTGGTGGGAAAGCAAAATGGTACAGCCACTTTGGACAACAGTTTGGCAATTTCTTCCAAAACTAAATATACTCTTATCCTATGACCCAGCAATTGCTTTCCCTGGTGTTTACCCAAATGAGTTGAAAACTTATGTTCACACAAAAACCTGCACACAAATGTTTATAGCAGCTTTACTCACAATTGCCAAAACTTAGAAAAGGCCAAGACATCCTTAAATATGTGAGTGGGTAAACTGGTATATCTATACAATGGAATAGGATCCAGTGATATAAGGAAATGGGTCATCAAGTCATGAAGACACGGAGGAAACTTAAATGCATACTGCTAAGTTGAAAAAGGCAGTCTGAAAAGGCTTTACATTTCTGGACTTCAAGGTCTAGAAAGTGGGGGAATTGAAGGCTCTGTGAAGCGAAATGGGAATGAGGAATTAAAAGTGAGGAAGGCCTGACCGGTGGACAAGGAGGAAGTCTTCCTATCAGAGGGAAAGAGCAAGAGTGTTTCTAAGTCTACTACACTCTGGAAAAGGCAAAACTATAGAGACAGTGAAAAGATCAGTGGTTGCCAGGCACTTGGAGGGAGGGATGCATATGTGGAACACAGAGGATTTTTAGGGCTGTGAAATTATTCTGTATTATACTCTAATGGTGGATACATGTCATTATAAATCTGTAAATACCATAGACCTGTACAACACAAAGAATGAACCCTAGTGTAAACTATGGACTTTAACCAATACTAATGGATCAATATTGGTCTATCAATCGTAACAACTGTTGTTACAATGATTCAAGATGTTAACAATGGGGGAAATCAAATGTGGGTGGGGGGACAGAATATATGGGAATTCTCTGTACATTCTGCTCAATTTTTCTGTAAATCTAAAACTCCCCTAAAAAAAGTGCTGGGTACACAGCAGGTGCTTAATAAATTGTGGTTGTGGGCTAGATGTGAGGCAGGCAGTGAGATGATGGCAGAGATG